AGAGAGAGAGAGAGAGAGAGAGAGAGAGAGAGAGAGAGAGAGAGAGAGAGAGAGAACGAACGAGACAAAGGACAAAGGCGTGGGTGTAATGCAACAAACCAAAGAGGGGGCCATAACGCAGATGGATAGTCATTTTTGTCAGCTGAGCGGTACGGAAGAGATGACGTAAAGGCTACCAGACAGTTCCAAAAAATTCTGACAAATATGACAAGTGGTTGGCCTTTAAACCTAGCACACCGGTTCAATGTTTGGCACTAGATCCTATCAACTGGGTTTGGACTTCGCCGCCAAGGAAGGGTCATAATTATAAGAACGCTTCATACCCTGTCTGTTAAATCAACGTATAGAATGATCAGACCTAGTATAAATATCAAGGACAGGGTAGGAGACAGATGGCTGAAACACTTAAATTTAAAAAGAGAAGCACTCAAGACAATCAAATGGTTCAGAAATATGAAAATAAAACCAACCAAAATAGCTTCACTACAACGGCAGATTGAACATCGCTGTTTACCAACTAATGACTGGCTGATTAGTAGAACAACTCTAGAACAGAAAGGGTTAGCTCTACCCTTTCCCAACAAGATTAATTCCTGAAACAATTGAGCAAATCTTCCTACAACGCCCAGGGGCAATATGGATGTGGAGGTGGTGGGATAGGATTTGGGAATTCATTGGAAACCACTAGCCAATGACCCTGGGATTGGAAAGCTATTTTGCTGGAATCTTGGGTACCACATCCATATGACGAGTTCACACATAACCTTTTCACGATTGGACGAAGAGGGTTACTCTGGGCCATATGGAGAAGACGATGTACTTATGAAATGGAAGGGGCAAGATTGGATGGCCCTGAATTTACGGACTCAATCAAACAACAAATTCAGACTGTGATTAGAGCACAGTGGGATAATGTCAAAGAGAAAATTCAACATTTACACTCACTCAATGAAATTAGAGATCATATTCAGAAATTCAGTCAAAGTTGGTTGGGAGGACCACAGGGGGGAAAAATAGGCCAGATCAAGAGGAAAGGGGGTGATGGACAAGAGTTTGGAAGTATAAACAATGCTTATTACCTGAAGTTTGAAGAATGGACTGTGGTTGATCCAAGTATCCCAATGAGGCAGTTATCAAAATTCCCCGACCCATTTCCTCCACAATCAGGATGTTTAGTTCCATGGTCTTGGTATGGAAATGATTGAGGAATTATCTCATTATAATGGATTACAAGCTAGCATATTACGGAATTCAGGCGCCCCTTAAGAGGGTGAAGAGGCTGGATACATTAGAAATGAGAAGGAAGGAGCAATCAGTATGGGCATAAGGACTAGCAATTCAAGATCATTCGGCTCCCACAATTGGGAGAAGAGGTTCAGTGCTCAGATACCATTGTGGAAATGTGTAACTAATGGGACGCTGGACCCGGTTTCCAGCAGGTGCAGCTCCCCACCAATAGATGGAGTGACATGCATAAGGTATACTAGTTGGGGAGATCTGTATCAC